CTCTGGTATTGAGTAGCACAAATGGCTTATGATCGACTACTAACCTAAAGGTTGGCAGTTTGAACCACCCAACAGCTTCATGGAAGAAGACTTGGTGAATTGCTTCCATACAGATTACAACCAAAACAACCTCCTGGAGCAGGTCTACTATGTAACACATGAGGTTGCCATGAGTTGGAATTGATGCCTGAGGATTTTATTGTTTTTTATTTGTGATACTATAAAAAAAAATCTTAGTAAATCTAATTTTTACTTTTACTTTTTCTTTTTGCAGATCCTGTTTCTGGTAAATTTGTAAGGAAATGGTAAGACTGTAGCTATAATACTATTTTCATAGGTCTAAACTGGCAGACCAGCATAGCTGGATGGAACAAACTTAATCTGGGGCATTTGACATAAAAATGTATCTTGGAAGTTTTGAGAAGATTCCTATGCTTTTCCTTTGTCACAAGGACCCTTTCTAACCACAGTTCCTATAGAAAGATGAAAAAGATAAAGTGACTATAAGTAAGGCATGGAAGAAAATGAAGATGTAGAACTCTTCTTAAATTTACTCAGTTTTTGACTTGTTTGCTATAAGTGATTTCTTACATGCTAGGTCTGAACATTTAAGGGCCAAGGATTTTACATTAGCTGACTATGTCATAGATTCTGTGAAGCTTCTAGTGAATATATCCCAATCTCCCTTTTCATCTAATTACAGTGAAACATTTCTTTGAAATTTCAAGAAAATGTCCTCTATGGAAAGAAAAGAACATTTGTGTTTGTGGAATCTTTTCAGAAGCTGTTCATATACAGACACATATGCATAAAATAAATATTTTCTGAAAAATAGATTTTTGCCTTCAGTTTTGGGAAAATTAAGATAGGAAAGAAAAAAGAATAGAATCATTAGGGAGAAACTAAGGGTTTTGTAGCAATGGTTTGTGTAGATGAGAAATACTTCTTTTATGAGGCAGGTTAAAACCATCCATATTTATTGTTATTGTTTAACCTGCTTACATTAACTGAATTTTTAAAACTTATTTTGAATTTATACTTAATGCATTTTCTAATTGTTTTCTTCCACTTTCATTCAGTAGCAACTACCTTGTTCTTGCAAAATACTTTTCAGTAAAAAAAAAAATTCACACAAGAATTATCATAAGTTGATTGAACAGGTATAGTCAACTAGGTTTACAACAAAATGTGCAAAGATCTGGAGTCAGAAAACCAAAAAGGAAGAACACACTCAGCATTTGTCAAACTGAGGGAACTGAACAAAGAATTCAAGTGTCGACTTTCGTTATTGAAGAATTCTCTGGACAAATTATTGAATGATGCAGAAAGTATAAA